TGTGTGTGTGTGTGTGTGTGTGTGTGTGTGTGTGTGTGTGTGTGTGTGTGTGTGTGTGTGTGTGTGTACATTAAATGGGAATCTGCAGACCCAGGCTGTACATTCACTGCCATGATAGGTGTGTGTGTGTGTACCTTTGTTATACACACGCTTAGATAAAGTGGAGCTGTATATCCTTATAACCTAACTATTAAGCTGGCAAAAAACAAAAAAGTCAGCCATAAGTCTGTAATCATTTTGTTAGGGTTAGGGTGATCTGCACATTTATACCAAGAATATATATGTTCTTCCGTTTTGTTATAATTTCTGAATCTGTTAATCTGATTCCATACAGTATTACCTCAACAGAGGTCTGTGAATCTTACAAGAGGCTCATTTAACTGTACTGCATTATTTTAACCACAAGAGGTCACTGTGAATCCAGGGTAGACAGGTAAAGGTTTAATAATAATAATAATAATAATAATAATAATAATAATAATAATAATAATGGATTGGATTTATATAGCGCTTTTCAAGGCACCCAAAGCGCTTTACCTGCTTCATGCCCATGTGGGTATTCAGTGTTTTGAAAAGAAGGCAACATTAGGTTCTTGAAGACGTTTTACTTCTCATCCAAGAGGGTTCTTTAGTTCTAAAACAGCAGGTGGACAGTCAGAGTCATATTTAAGCTTCAAAATGTAGAGTTGGACGTTTCAAGACCGGTCTTGGTCTCGAGACCACTTTTACGTGGTCTTGGTCTTGTCTTGGTCTCGCTGTCTCGCTCTCGCTGTCTCAGATCGACATAGTAGCTGTGTCCCAAAACGTCAGCTGCATCCTTCGGAGGCTGCATTTGAAGGCCGATTACGTCACAGCCAGGCGAAGAAGGCTGTCCTTAGATTAGAACTGGACTGTCACCAGCCTCAGGCTCTTCACCTTTTCAAAGACAAAGCAATCATTTAGTTAAAATATTAGATATTGTTTACCTGTAAATGCACAAAGACAATTTAGAAATGTAATTATTGTCAAGAGTGAACAAGCACCGATAGCGTAATCTACAGCTGTGGCCAAACCTTTAGAGAATGAGAAGTGTTGTTTGTTTATTTACAAAGTTTGCTGTTTCAGTGATAGTTATATATCATATTATATCACTTCAAACAGGTGATCCAGTAATGCTGCACTAATGAATTAGACAAACATGTCCTTTGCAAAAATATTTTCACTCTGTTTCCGGAGGTGCCCGCCTTTTGCAAAAGTGCCCAGCTTCTGTCCTCACAAAGACAGAAGCACATGAATACACCCACAAAAGAGCACGCACACTCTCGTAGGCACGGCCTCGCTCTGCCATTGTACAGTACCTGATGCGGTTCTGGTAGATGTCGTCCATGGTGAAGCTGCTTATCTGTCGGTAGTGTTGGCCTTTGACGGTGCGCTCGATGGTGCCGTGTCGAGGAGCCTGGATGACGCTGAAGACGATGGACTCCGCCTGGAGGAAGGTGGTGTAATAGAAGGGAAAATGCAGGGAAAGGAAGGACGGCTCAATGATATCGCCTGCAATGTCTCCCTAGGATGAAGCTACATAAAGAAGCAGTGTTTGTTCTCCACAACCAACAAACCAGCAAAATAGTGAGAACTCAAATTCAGGAATCTGCTTCCAAATATCTATAGTGGCGAACCTTAATATCACTTTTGGGTGTTATTCTCTAAAACTCTACAATAAGGCAGTAGAAAATAAATCTTCAAGTTTTTACTGAGAAATACAGATTTATTGGATTAACAGTGTTGGATTATCCCTTAAACCAGCTGGTTAGTTTAGCCAG